AGTGAAAGAACGTATACCTGAGGTTGTGCATGCAGGTCGTTCTATATGAACGACGCATGCGCAACCACTTTGCCTCACACAGCACAAACCCTTACCCAGTCACTCCGAGCTGAACAGCAGATCATGCTAGATGAAGCAATAATCTGCCAAGGACTTACCACCCGGACGAGGCCCTGGTAAGACAGACTAACTATAAACTCTAGTATAATATATATAATATATATCCATTTATTAAGTTCATAATGAACAATTGATTACCATCTTTGTACATTATTACAGATTATCAATAGAAGTGACTATTGTGTAAATATATATTTTACAGGCTCTCTCTTCCAAGAGACATGAATGACTAATAAAACATTCTCGAACAACGGAGGACTTGTGTGTCTAAATTGAACACGCCGAAGGTCTTACATTTGTACCTGTATCTTGCTTTTACCGAATAAATATTATTATTAGCTTCCCTACATTCTTCCCTCCTTTTTCTCAGTCTATGCCCCAAAAGACAACATCATTTACAACCCACATATAATACTCCATACAGTACGTTAAATAAAGGAACATACATTTTTAGGTGAAAGCTGAAGTGCGAAACTCATTCGGGTGACATTCACTGTGATTGTATAAAATTATAGTAAACCGAAAATAGACATAGTAAAATGATTCTGAAACAGTGGGTTGTGGGAGACAATATGAATTTTTTGGGTTCATATTTGACCAGACAAGTTATGAGTTCGTCGAAGATTTTTCTATCACGTTACAGAATCTAAAATATTAACTAATATATTAATTCTTACATGTTTCGATCTTGCTTTGTTGATTTGTCGCAGAAAACTGCTGAATCCTCGAACAGAAGCGTGTTTCGGTGAAGAGGGTTGACCGGCTCCGAGAAATCCTCCCCCTAGGAATTTAGGAATGGACGCCAATGTCTTCTCCACAACATCAGACATCGTTATGTAGCCTTATATAAATCAGCATTTCGTCTGACGTAGATCCCTAGGGGTCCCTGGTCTGCATTTTGACAGCTATAATTTTTACCGGAAGTGTAGGGAGAACTCTAATATAAATATGACGGACTTCCGGACCGGAATCTTTTTGATACTGTTCAAGTTGCTTCTGATTCGGAGACGTACATGTATCTTCTTCTTCTTCCGATAACTGCGGCAGAACTCATAGGTATGAGTGCAATTGTCACAATCAGGTGTTCTTAAAGGTGGCATTTATGTAATAACACATTTTTATAATGATTTATTGGAATCATAGACGCCTCGGCAGGGGCGCAACTGGGATATAAATCTTGTGTAGGCACTTGAGCAATTTGCTGAAAAATATGCTGGTTTTTTTCCAGTTCAACGACAACAGTTTTTTAAGTTTAATAAAACAAATTAATAAGTGTACCGGTGCGTTTTCTGATTTAATATACAGAAAGTACGAAATTAAATATCAATGAGTTGTAATAGTTAATGTTAGGGTTTTAGCAGAAAACCTAATTTCCACTAACGACAATATTTATGAAATGATTTTAAAGAAGGATAATCACTCATTGTTATCCAAAAATCTATAAACTTAATTTAAATTCTTAAAAGTGGGAGAGAGTTTCTTGAAATAAAAAAGAGAACACCGAAGCGTTAAAAAAGGGAGAACTCATAATAGATAAAACGAGGGTAAAATTTGAACAAAGGCATGGAGACCCTTGAAAAAAAAATACAATGAAAATAAGACCAGGTGTTCCGATAGGGTAAGTATAGGTCAAATCCAAGAAATGCTACGTATACAAAGCGAGAACTGGGATAATGACAACAAAGCGACACCAGTGAGCATAATCAACAACATCGACCTTCATATCACACAAACTTGCCAACTAGTCTTCATAAAGCTGCATCTTTGAAAACCCTGTACTGTAACCTTGTCCGTTAGCAGCCTACATCTATATTATCAAGTCTTAAAGTTATGGAGTCATGCTATTTGCAACAAACTCGTGAATACAGACCGAGTCACGACAACATGGGAATCAGGGATGTTACTATCAAGAAAGAGAAAGATCACAATCGGACCATCAAAATAGTCACGCTGATCGAAGCGTAGTTTTAAGGGATCTCTTTTCATATTATTGTGAGTAAAGATTGAGGAAAGTGACTGAGGTAGAAAAGCCTGTAGCGTCCTTTATTTCAAGCTCAGGAGGGTACCTGTAAATTAGAACGACGCGGCCAATACAAATGTTATGTAAAGGCAGAATATTGTTGATATATTTGAATATTAAATTCAATTCAGACTTTATTTTGTCCTGATTGCTTATCAAATAAATTAAGCCTCGTATGAAAAGCAAAAATATCGGCCAGAGGAGGGGCACAGTTTCTTCCCATATGAATGCCTCCTTCCTGATGGAAAGTCTTGGCACCGGACTTAATAAGATCTCAACCAGGAACTCAATCATTCTCACAATTGCAACATCTGATTATTTATTTTAGCATTTGTAGTGCTTTTCACAACATATGCTCAAAATGATTTACAACTATGTATTTATATCGCTGATTGCCCTTCTTTTTGAAAAGAAACCTCTCATAATGAGAAAACGAAGGCGTTCCTTCTGTTTGGTATAAGGATGCTAGTGTAAGGCGTTGGAAAGTAAAAAAAGCTTGATAGAAGAAACATTTTTAAGAAGAGGATGTTCAAGATTGATCAAATGTTCTTTTGAAATCTTCAAATTCCACATTCGTATTATTGCACTTACCGAGTATACAGAGTCACAATACGACTGTAACCCTGTTTAAATGGTACTAAATTAGTATGAAGGCTTGGTTGAGTAACAAGTTGAGCCCGCGATTAAACGTTACTTATAAGGATTCTGGTAAATTCCGGAGTCTAATACAAACGATGTACTGGCAAGTATCCTTATCATTAATGGGTATTGTAATAGAACTAGAGAAGCGTGATTAGCTAGTATTTCGTCTTTCGAAAAATTGGAAAGATCAAGCATGCTAACAAATTGTAGTTCTAAATGGTCACCTTGTCGTGATCTGCTAGCCTACCTCAGACTCACAGGGACATGTTAATTTGTTACAGCTATATTTGGACATAAACTAAGATGTTCAGAGTAATTTTACGTTTTTTTAGGGGTTTGGATCAAATTTCAGTCAAAATGCTAAAATGTAGTGAAAACAAATCTGCGTGCGGAATGACTTTTTGTCTGTAACTTTTTAAAGCGGGGAATGCTGGATGCAATACTTATGCCCAGATACGCTTTTCTTTTTAATCTTTGTTTGACTGATCTTATTTAGTATGGTTACTCTGTACTTTTCCTTTTTCTATTTCCTTTTCTTTGTACTTTTTGTACTTTTGTACATCTCTGAACGTACTGACTTTTAAAACAGTAGAACCATCTTTTAAATAAGTTCTTAGATCTGTTCTGTACAGTATTCAGTTCTAAAGGAATTCATTGGGTCTACAAGTGCGATCATTGACATTTTTACAATCTTTCAAAACTTATTAACCTCAAATGTACAATCTCCTCCACCAATCTACTAACGTTGTGGTGAACGTACATGTAAACTTAGCATTCTGTGCTTACAACGTTAGACATCAGTGTAGTCCACTTAAATATGATTTTTATAGAGTAAATCTTGTTTAAAGTCCAGTTTGTAACTGTGGCATTCCCTGTGAAAATGCCTTTCACTTTTTTGTTAGTGCGTACACTTTAACAACGAAAGACGTATCCTGCTCCAAAATTTGAATGCCCTTGTGCCTTTGGAAAAAGTGGGTTTTAAAATTTGTTCTGTCACGTTTTCTAGCCTTCGTCACCCTATGAGACACTTTCCTATAAGGAAATTCTTAATTCGAAAGGATGTTCTAGACTCATTTGGGTATTTGTTGCTGTGCATCAAAGAATATTCAGTATGACCAATCGAACAGGTCCACATATAGATAGCTTTATAAATCACAAACTTCACCGCTCTATAATTTTTCGTGCATATCCTGACATTTCGTTGGCGTTTAAGATTAAAATAGGTTTTCATTAAACAGATTCGTTGAAAACGTACGGTATACGTTGATATAATTATGCTACGCAATGGTGTTCAATAAATTACATACAATTAACCAACGAACAGATATATATATAGTTACAATTTATAGTGAACACTTAATGATCATTTCGTACAGTCGGATGTTTGGTGTTTTGTTTTCAAAAACAGGTATTTTCGATAACATACATTTGTTTAACACCGTGTTTCCCTCGTTTATAAAGAATGATGATCAGTGGTCCATGTTTGGCTTCAAAACGAAGCCAATCGGGATTTTCCTGGCCAGTCTGGGTTGTCATGTCAACAAAGTTCCCAAATATTGTCCTGAACTCCGACCATCTGCATTAACAAGTATCTTATTTGTGTAGAAGAGATTACAGGTATCTAACTGGTGAAAAAGAGAAGTAATTCGCTGTAACGCCATTCAGTTGTAATCTTCTAAACGAAACATATACAAAGGACGTGATGTCAAAGATATGAAAGGTGCAGAATCTTGTTGTTATGCGTTATATCTTCAACGGGAAAGAGATTCGATTGGTTGGATATTTTGGCTAACCTCAGGTTGCACGCGCAACACCGGTAGGATATAAATAATATATGTAGTACATACGTATGAATATTATTGAGTTCCAAACTTGACACGGAGACTTAAATTTTCTTCACTCCTCCAAACTCTGCACTCACAGCGGCGATCCATCATCTCGTGATTCTCTCTCTCTCTCTCTCTCTCTCTCTCTCTCTCTCTCTCTCTCTCTCTCTCTCTCTCTATCAAATGTGTAAATATTCCTTTTTGTTTTGTTTTTCTTTTCAACATTATTTTTTGTCTTTTCAATATTTAGAAGAACTAAGTCATGTGTGATCCAATTACAGACAATAAAATATTCCAACTTCACAAAGTATCTTTGATGTTTCCTTTGGCCAAGTTATTCCACTACTATTGAGGATGTGACATATCTCTATATATATATAGTAGGTTGAGTGTGTACAGCTTACCTGGTTTTGTCTAAAGCACGAGTGATACAGGCCTTAAGGATCGCTTGTTTAAGGGTACTTTCAGTTAGTGGCTTTGGACAGATCGACTGTACCTGTACATCAGTGATGTATCGTCACTTCTCATTGGTCAATTGCTGTATGTCATCTTCCAACCATATACAGTGATTCTTACAGATATACTGCTACTGGATGACTTGTAGCATGTTGTTATGTTAGATTGTATATAACAAAACAACGAGACATTTAAGTGATCTACACCAATTTACTAATAATGCTTGAGAGATGTTATTATACACAAATGATTTATACAAAACCTGTGACAATGTAAAAGAATAACCAAAATACGGGACTTTCAGTACTTTATGCCTAATCAAACTATCCACCCTTCATTTTAGTCAAAATTAAAAAGAATAAAAAACAAGCAAAAATTATGAATGACTCTTAACAGTCAGAAATCTTAAGTTTTCCAGCACATGGAAAAATTAAGATTCTGGTGACATTTTTGGTCCTAGGTAAAGCTGTTTACCTCCGGTATTCCTCGTGGGATAATTACATGCTAGCATAACACGTCTAACTGAAGGGTCTACTGAAAACAAACCCTAGTTCTAGACAGTACACACCTAACGAATGTCTAATCAGACCTAACGACTATTACGGCACCTCTTTCGAGTTTTGGAAGGTTCTGCAAGTGATCAAAGTTTCCAATTATTGCATTTAAAGCGCAAATGGCTCTTCATAGGTTGACAAGGCATTAACTTTATAATTGTAATACATGTGATCAATTAAATATCTAGTGCAAGTAAATAATAAAGTCGCATTTAATGTTTTGTTCCATGTAAAATTGTAAAGTTACACTAAAACAAATCTACTACTATATCCAGGATAGACTAAGCAATAAATTGTATACAATATTTATATTGAATTAACAACAATGTAGAAATATGGTTTAGAAGTTGAATTTTGTATACTACATATATGATTGTTTAAAAAGAAAAATCCTTATAAAATCTTATCAAATTAAATACATACGAAAGATATCTTATCTTTTCCGG